GCTTGGCTCATTAAGGCTCAAATGCGATTTGACTCGTTAAGCTGAGAGTGAAGTTTTTACATAGTTTTCTGAGCTCTAAGTTTAACTCAACTTGTTAAATGTTCAACCGTTAATATCATGCAATCCTAGCTTATGGTGCTGGTCCTACAACAGGGTATGCTACTGGTTCTTCTTATGTATTAGCTACTTATGCTCCTATTGGTGTTGATATTAGGTATGGGCTTTTTGAATTCCGTTCCACGGACAAGCGTATACCGCTACACGCGGGACATGGATTGGTGGGTTTACAAACATAAACTAAGATAATGCTTAACACGCCCCCTCAACTTAAAGGCAAATCGAGTTGGAGCAAGGGCGATGGACACGGAAATAGAGAAGGCATATCCAATTTTAGGAGAGCCAGAGTCAGGAGGTCGGATTTACGACATGGATCCTAATGATCCATGGGCCGTAAAAAGGGGAAAATCCATGGAAGAAGAAAAGAATCGCTCGCTCAAGGACTCTTGCCAATTAGTACACGAGACGAGTTCAAACTTATTTATCAGCTCGTTTAGCTAACAAGTTGAGCTCGACAATGGTTGATAAATGCTCAAGTTGAGCTCGAGTATCAAGAATTTTAGTTTGGTTCGACTCATTCACTACACTAGCTATATTTCAAAAAATCATTTTACGATGTTTTAAAGTAAATCATTTATCATTAAAATTGTAGTTTTTGTTCAATATATATGTATTTACTTGAAACTGAAACTAAATCCCGCCCAAAAGTTTTTAAACTATTAAACTTGGTAACCTTTTTTAGAACATGTAAAAAAATCTCGCATCTATAAATTAATTAATTAATTATTTATGGTATAAAGTTGACAAATTTAATAAATCCAGTTTTGGTGTATAGTGGGCATTTTTATTCAAGGTATCTGATGGCATTTTGATTTTTGGTAGGAAATATGTTGTTATCAACAAATGTCTGAAATTAAGATATAAAGTGGACGATTTTATTTTGATATGAAATGTCTGAATTTATATGGTATGGATTTTGATATAGCCATATATAAGTGGACTGGATTATTACAAGTGTAAGGAGCTTGAGTCTTGTAGTAAGGAGCTTGAGTAAAATGAAAGGCGACCGGAGTAAGTCATCTTGAGGGGAGATTAACAAGGATAAGACGACCTCGAGATGAAGTTTAACTCGGCACCTCGAGGTTGACATAAGGCGTTCTGGAAGTAGAAAGACGACTTGAGGGACAACGACCTAAGATCAAAGGATTTCGTACGTCTCGCAGAAGGACATCGGACGACCCAACCCTGGGGCTATGGATTAAGTCGACTTCCACCACCAAAGACGACCAAATTCACTTCACAACCCGAGATGGACCACGAAGCAGATAGTCCCAAGAGGAATTATGACCTAAGGTAATCTATAAGAAGGAAGCTTAACAGCATAAGAAGGAATCTTAAAAGTGACTAGGAGATGATTAAGAGATGAATAAGATATGAATAAGCATTAAATCTGGGCAGACTGCACGCCGGCACTCGGGCCGAGCATTTCGGACAGGTAATTCCTTATAAAAGGACTGAGGTATCACCAAACCTTAAAACTTTTACATTCTTATACATTATATATTGTTTGTATTTATAGAGCACCATTATCTCTTTCTGAGACTGACTTAGGCATCAGAGGCTCTGCGCTGGAAACCCCTCCAACATTGAGTTCTTGTAGGTACACGCGTGGTGG